ATCTCAGGTCTTGATCTCAGGGTTGTGAGTTCAAGCCCCTCGTTGGGTGTGAAGACAACTTAAAAAAAGAATACCCGGGCGCCTGGGTGGCTCAGTTGGTTAAGCAACTGCCTTTGGCTCAGGTCATGATCCCAGGGTCCTGGGATCGAGTCCCGCATCTGGCTACCTGCTCAGCGGGGAGCCTGCTTCTCCCTCTGCCTTTGCCTGCCACTCCCCCTGCTTGTGCTCTCTCTCTGTCAAATAAATAAATAAAATCTTTATTAAAAAAAAAAAAAAAGAAAGCCCCACAGAGAAACCAGGTTTCTGTTTAGTGCTGGTCACGTAGGCCCTAGAGATCCATGAGCCCACTCTCAGTCCTTCTAGTCCAATGTAGTTCACCAATCAGGGGTCATTTTTATAATAAACACTGTTGCCTGGGAACGGAGCTGGCATTCCATATTTACCTTAACCCAGTATGTTTCCATGGAAACACCCTGTTGGGAGAGAGTAAGCCAAAGTCACCTTCTAATAGAAAACAGGTTTAGATCTATTGTTAACTCTTCCTCCCGCCCAGCAAGTACACTTCTGAGCACATGCCCTGGAACCAGGATTCTTGTAAAGGAATGTTGAAAGAAGCATTAGTCACATTAGCCAGCTCCAAACTGGAAGAAACCCAAATGTCCATCAATATTTGAATGAATAAATAAATTGTGGTGTATTTATATCATGAAGTAGTATACAGTGATGAAAAATGAATGCAACACAATTACACACAGCCACAAGGAAGGAAGCAAGACATAAAACATACAGGTAACATGATTTCATTTACATAAAATTCAAAATCAGGCCAAAGTAAACTTTTGCTTAGGGGTACATACATGGGTGATAAAACTATTAAGTAAAAAAAAAAAATGAATTTCACTTGAGGAAGTATGGTAGACAGAATGATGGTCCGCCCACCCCCACCAAGATGTCCACACTGTAATCTCGGGAACCCTTGAGTATGTTACTTTACATGGCAAAAGAGACTCTGCCGATGTGATTAAAGATTTTGAGATGGGGAGGTTACCTTGGATTGTCCCGGTGGGCCCAATATCATCACAAGGGTCCTTATAAGGGAGAGCTAGGAGTGTCAGAATCAGAGAAGATGATGTGATGATAGGGAAGATGTGAAGAAGAGAAGCAGAGGTTGGAGTGGCCACGAGCTAAGGAATACATAAATCAAGGAATCCAGCTTCTAGAAATTGGAATTCATTCCAATGGAATGAATTCTCCCCTGGAGCTTCCAGGAGGAATGCAGTGAGAGTGTCCCCTGCCCCCCGCCCCGCCCCAGCCTCCTTCCTGGGGACCACACTCAGCATGTCTAGCATCCAGCTGCTAGAGTTTTGCACTGTCTGTGAGCATCTGTACTTTATCTCAGTTTATTTTTTTTATTTTTATTTTTTAAAGATTTTATTTATTTATTTGAGAGAGTGCGAGAGAGAGAGCGAGAGAGAGTGAGCAAGGTGAGGAGCAGAGGGAGAAGGAGACTCCCTACCGAGCAGGGAGCTGGATGTGGGGCTCGATCCCGGGACTCCGGGATCACGACCTGAGCCGAAGGCAGCCACCCAACTGGCTGAGCCACCCAGATGCCCCTCGGTTTATTTTGTGCATGTGTCAGCAAGGTGTGTCCTAAGGTATCAGAAAAACCTAATAGAGGTTATTTTTGGGCTAGGGGAATGCTATACATTTTTTTCCATATGAATTAATGGTAATTCCTTCTTCACTTTATGCCTGTTTGGCTTATGAAGGGTCTCATAGGAATGCTCTACTTTCAGATAATGGGGAAACCTATACTCTCGTCTTGGCTGTAGTGAACATATCCCAAGGTGACCCCGTGTACTACCCACCCCTTCAGTGGGGGCAGAACCTGTGACTTGCTTCTGGCCCACAAAATGCAGCACACGTGAAGGGATGTCACTCCCTTCATTAGGTGTGCTCTGTTAGACTGGCCCCTAGTAGACTGAAGAGAGGTGCTCTCTGGCTGGCCGTGAAGATACAAGCTGCCATGCCACGGAAAGGGCCACCTGGCAGGGGACCACGCGATGAGTCCAAGATGAGACCGCAGCCCTGCAGCTCTGGGAGACCCCACGCAGAGGATCCAGCTGAGCTGTGCTGGTCTCCTGACCCATGGAAACTTCGAGATCATAGATGGGTATTGTTTTAAGCCACCAAGTTGGGGGTAGTTGGTTTTGCAGAAAGAGAAGAACGAATACAGTGGTTAATTCCAAGCTACCAACAATTTAACTCATATAATTCCTGAAAATGGAACAATCAGCTAGCTTTCAAGAGCTGTTCCGGGGTCCAGTCTTGTTCTGCCAACAAATCTACTTGAAATAAACCAGTGTTTTCATCCTAACAACCTAGAGACCATTTGGGGGAAGAAAAAAAAAAAATATATATATATATATATAAATAGGAAAAAAAAAAAACAACTATTTCATTCTCCAAAACTACAGTTACTTACCTGTGGGATGTTTGTGCCTTTCGGTCTTGGAGTCAGATTGGACTTACCACTCTGACTCCATGCTGATTTCTGTGCAGTACTTGCTTTTCTTTCTTTCTTTCTTCTTTTTTAATTGAAAATTTTACTGGGATAATTGTAGCTTCACATGCAGTTGGAAAAAGTAATACAGAGAGATTCTTTGTACCCTTTGGCAGTTTCCCCCACTGGTAACATTTTTGGATGTTTGGTTTTGTATCACGGCAATGGCTAAAAACGCGGTTTCACAAAGATGTGACTCATTGAAAGGAACATGGCGCCGCCTTGTGTTGAACCTGTGAACTGCCTTGAGTTGGTAGCTCACGCAGTGTCTGATCCACGTCGACGTTTCTCCCTCAAGACTTAATATCCCCGTGGTGCTCCCTTTGAGTTTGCAGCGATGCTCTGGGGTGCCCGGGTGCATGCATTAGTTTTCTAGGGGATGCTGTAACTAAGTACCACAAACTTTGGGTGGCTGAAATGACAGGAATTTATTGTCCCACAGCTTTGGAGGCTGGGAGTCCAAGACAAAAGTGCTGACAGGGTGGCGTTCTCCCTGTATGCCCGTCTGTGTCCAAATCTCCCCTTTGCGTAAGGACACTGGTCATATTGGAGCAGAGTCCACCCTAATGACCTCATCTTAACTTGATTATCTCTGTAAAGACCCTGTCTCCAGATAAGGCCACATTCTGAGGTACTGGGGATTAGCACTTAAACATAAGAATTTGCAGTGAGGGGGTGTGGGGGGTGGACAGGACATAATCCAACCCATAACAGCACACAAATTGGGAAACACAATTTTTTTTTTAAGTTGGCGCCACACCCAGCGTAGAGCCCAACATGGGGCTTGAACTCACAACCCTGAGATCAAGACTTGAGCTGAGATCAAGAGTCGGACACTTAACCAACTGAGCCACACAGGCGCCCCGGGAAACACAGTCTTAAGCAATGCATGTATTCATTTGATCTGTATGTTTTATTGAGAACCTACTCTGTAGGTTTTTGTCAAAAAAGACAAAAATCTGCCCTTGTGGAGCTTCCAATTTATTTGGAGAGACGGCATGCCCCAAATAAAGATGAACACAGAAATGAGGACGGGTTGGCAGTGGTTTCACGCATAACAAGACACAGGGATTCTAATGGCGCCCGAGCTCATTCTCACCATCTCTCAGTCTCTTGGCTCCACTTTGTCTACTGGCCTCATCCTCCCAGGAACCCCGTGTGCTGGGACTATGACAGCACAAGTCCCGGAGTCCCATCCATCCAGCTCATGCATTTCCCCCAAAATACCGGGAAGGGATTCAGGCTGGCTCAGCTTGGGTCGGTCAACCGGTCCATCCCTAGGACAATCACCGTGATTGTCGGGACCCGGGTCATGTGGCTGGCAAGGTGCCTTGTTGTGTTTGGAAGCCAGAACCACATGGAAAGTTGGGCATTGTTAGCAGAAGAGGCAGAAGAAGAAGGGCATCATTAGAACAGATGGCTGGGGCCACAAGGATGGCAGATGGCAGCTACGCTCAGCCACTCACCCTCTCTTGGTGCCTCAGTCTCTCCCACATTCAGCCAACAAATAGGTTATCTTCCTCTTTCATCCAGATCCAGGAGTGGGAGACCCGGATCTTTGCCCATAGTAAGGATGTCAGGGCCCCAGGACTCATCCTGGATCAGAAAGTCAAGATCCGGCAAAGGATCAAGATCCTAGAAGACCAGTTGGACAGGGTGAGAATCATCCTCTTGGCTCTTTCCAGACCTGATCTCTGGGCATTGGGGGGAAAACTGATCACGGGGTCAAGTTCCAGAAACGATGGACAGACTCCTGGAGGGAGGCAGGCCTGAAACACTGCGCTCCCACAGAAGGATCAGGAGACCCGATCCTGGATGGATGGAGGGTTCCCAAGGAAAGGAGACTGATGCCTGGGTCCTTAGGGTGGTTGGGCAATGCTCTCAGGGTCCCCAAATTGGGAACGGGCTCCACCTCTGACAAGTGTCCACTCTTTGGCTGAGTGTGGAAGAGGGAGGCAGGCCAGGCCTCAGACGGACTTTTGTACACCCCTCACCCCCCACCAGGTCACGTGTCGCTTTGACATCCAGCTGGTGCGGAATGCGGCGCTGAGGGAGGAACTGGATCTCCTGCGCATTGAGAGGAGCCGCTACCTGAACGTGGACCACAAGCTGCAGAAGGTCAGTGGTCCTAAAACCCAGGACCCCTTGGCCCAGCCGGGGTAGAGGAGAGGATTCAAGAGTTACCCCACCAACCCCAACACTGTGGCCTCAAGTACGGAATCAGCCAGAGTCAGATGCCTCTAACAAAGAAAGCAGCCTCGTTCAGACTTGCAGAAGCCAGAGATGTCATTTTGAATATCATCAGCCAGGGCAATCAATGAGCCAGCAAAACCACTTATATTCTGTGGGTATCTCTGTGACCTTTGCTGTCCCGTGAGGACCCTTCCTTTCTCCTCCACCTTCCCTTCCCTGAGAGAATAGTACAAAGAACTCTAGCCTTCACCAAGATTGATCATTTGCCATATTTGCACACACACACTCTCTATTATTTTTACTGAAAATAAGTTATTGTTATGATTGCTGAACTATTTGAGAGCACACGGCAGACGTTATGCCCCTAAGAACTTCAGTGTGTATGTCCTAAGTTTAAGACCATTTTCTTGCAGAAACACAGGGCAGTTATCCAAGTCAGGAATTTCAATGTTATTACAATTCTAAATAGTCCCTGTCTAAAGTTCTCCAACGGTCCCAATGACGTCCTTTATAGCTAATTTGATTTTCCTGCTCCAGGCTCCCAGCCAGGGACCCACACTGCATGTGGTTGTCCAAAGCTCTGTTTTTGGAACCATCCCTCAGCCCTGCTTTGTCGTCATGACTTTGGCATTTTGGAAGCCAGTCATGTTGTACAAAAGCCCCTCAACATGGGTCTGTCTGATCTTTCTTCACGATGAGATTCGTGCTGCGCATTTTGGGTGGAATATCTCAGAGGTGATGTTGTGTCCTGGGTGCGCATTAGGTAGGAGGTACAGGATGGAAGTTGGTCCCTTAACTGGTGATGTTGATGTTGGTCCCTTGGTCAACCATGTGTCTCCAGTGTTTTCCCTTTGTGAGAAGTAAGTGGAGCTCCTCGGAGACCACGTAAATATCCTGTTCCCTGGCACATTTCCACTCGGTTGTTTGGGCATCCATTAACGGTTCTTGCCCGGATGATGATTACCGTCATAACGGCTGCTGAATGGTGATCTTTTATCTACCTCTCTCGTTCCTCCTACGAGAGGAACGTTGTAAGAGAGCGTTTTACTTAAGGAAGAGCTTCTCATTCTTCCCCGTGTACTTGTGTGTTATCAGTAAGCATTCGTGGATTCTCACTTTGCTTCATGGCCATCATCATTCATTATGATGTTCAACTTGTCCCAGAGAAGGGAGACAAGTTAGTGGGAGCTAGTGGGAGCCCTTCAAGCTGGCTTCTGTGAGCTTTTGATGTGCCCTTGGTTGTTGGTTATTTTTTTTTTTAAGATTATTTATTTGAGAGTGAGAGAGAGAGAGCACGAGTGGGGGGAGGGGCAGAGGCAGAGGGAGAAGCAGGCTCCCCGCTGAGCAGGGACGCCCCCCCCCGACTCGGGGGCTCGATCCCTCAATCCCAGGACCCCGGGATCATGACGTGAGCCAGAAGCCAGACTCTTCACCGACTGAGCCACCCAGGCGTCCTCTCATATGTAAACTTTAAAGAGGGGTTCCCAAACCAAAACTACTCCAAAAGGTATTCCAGAGAAACACCATTTCCTCTCCATCTCTTCCAGTTCGTTCCCTGTGTGTGTGCGCACGTGTGTGTGCGTGTGTGTTCATATACATATGTATATGAATGACTGTATGTGTAACACACTTTATATGTGTGCATATATGTATATTGGATATAAATATATACATGTTATATTTGTGTGTAAATATATATGTAATTTCCTCCCTCTTTCTCCCGAAAAGAGCCCTTTTTACCCATAATACTGCAAAGACATTTCTTTGGAACTAGAAAACAGGTTCGTGTGGTCACCATTATGAAATTCAGGCAAATTGCTGAACAAGACCACAAAGTTAGGTCGGTGCTCTTCAGAATGTTCTGGGCTGAGGGTTCCGCCGGAATAAGCCCTCTAAGCTGGCGTTCCAGCTCATCAGTTTGGCATTCCCTGTACTCGGTACCCCTTTAAGATCCCTTTCCCCCGCGGCCACTAATGAGGAAGGTCCACACATCTGGATGGCACAGGAGTCCCCCGTTCTTGTAGGGGAGCTGCCGGGCCTAAGGGAAAGCCCTACAGTGAGGAGCTGTAGGAAGGACATTGGTTTTGTTCTCCCACAGGAAATCGAGCTTCTGCGACACATGGTCAGCTCCCTAATGGTCTCCTCGGCAGCTGCCTACACTGTCAGGTAGGGACCCTCCTGGGGCCGCACAGAGCTCAGGCAGTACGCACCTTGCCCTAAGGCTTTGGCGGGAGGGGTCAGAACTCTAGAAATAGACTCTCATAACCTATTATTTTTTTTTTATGGAACTGACTTCTCAGTTCCTCGGGCAAGGCCCCACTCGTTGAGTGTCTGGATTAACCTCTTTGGCCCCAGTCTGTTAATAGCACATAGCACATGGGGTGTGGAGAGAATGAATCAAGATGGTGCATGCGGCCCCTCAGGTGGCAGGGGCCAGGGGGCTGGGGAAGCATCGGGGCCTGAGGGTAATTAGATTGCTACTTATCAGTATTGGCTGAAAGGGACAGAGATCCTATTGGGCCACCTTCAGACGGAGTCATGTGTGTGGAATCCAGAAGCCCATCTCTGTCCCCAGGGCTGGCTTTCTTTTCTTTTTCCTTTCTTTCTTCCTTCCTTCCTTCTTTCCTTCCTTCCTTCCTTTTTCTTTCTTTCTTTCTTTCTTTGCGAAGACACACATAACAAAATTTACCACGTTGAAATGTACAGTTCAGTGGCATTTAGGACACTGGCTTCTGGGTCCAAAACGCTCCCATCACCCCAAAAGGAAGCCAGTACCCAATATGCAGTCACTCTGTCTTCCCCAGTTCCCTGGAAACCACTGGTTTCCTTCCTGTGTCTACCGACTTCCCTGTTCCAGGCATCTCATGGCAGCGATTCGTGGATTCAGCGATTCGCTGAATGTAGCAGTTTCGGGGTTCACCCATGTTGTAGCCCAGATCAGTATTTCCTTCCTTCTTGGGGCTGACTCTGCCGTTTCTCGCCTTTGGTCCGCCACGACCCCTTCAGAGCCCCCACTGCGTCTCACGGCTTCTGCTCATGCATGGCTTCCAGGGAACTTGAGCTTCAGAACATGACCTTCTGTGGCTTCTCTCCGCGCGTCCTTCTAGCTGCAGCTCCCTGCTCTTGCATTCTTAGCCCTTCTCAATTCGGTTTCTGAGAGAGAGAATCCGAGTGGCCCGGCTCCTCTCTTCTGCCAAGTGCCACATGTGGTGGGAGCCTCTGCCGATGGCGGTGGGCGGTGCAGCTGGGTACAAGGAGAGGGTGGTCTCAGCTAGAAGGCCCTGGGCGGCTAGCCTGCCGACACTCCCGGTCAGACCAGCGAGGGTCTCCAGCGCCTCCTTGTTGGATGACCCGGGGCAGGTCGCGTCCCCTCTCTGAGTCTGTTTCCTCCACTGTGACATGACCATAATAACGGCAGGGCCTGGCTCTCAGCAAGTCGGGGCCCCTCTTCCCTGCCTCCCGGTTGGCATGGAGCCCAAGGCACAGAAAGAGCTGTGAGTCCTAATCCCTGAAGGGCAGCCACCAGCACCTGGAGGTGTCACTGGGGCTTGTGGGCACCAGAGGAGGCTTCCCACCCAGGAGGACTGATGTGCATTGGTCTTTTTTTTTTTTT